ATTAAAAGCGATAAAAATCTAAAGAAAATATCAAAGTGAAAGCCTTATATTTATAAAACGAAATTTTTAATAGGTGATCAGCATGTACGCATGCATGTACTACTAAATAAAATTTGTGTAAATTAAGGGGTAAATAAATAAATATCATGAGACTAAAAATCTATTCTTCGTTTTCTTCTTCTGTTATTGGTGTTTCCATGTGTTCAATAATTATTCTTGGCTCAAAGTATTCTTCTCTATTGTGATAAGACTTCAGTTGAGTACCATTAAAAGTTTTGCGTAATAGTTGGTCATGTTGGTTTCGCAATTTGTAAGCTCCATTGCCAAGAGTTTCATGAATGTAGAACCATTCTGTACTCCATTGTGACTGAAATTTATTTCCGTGAGTAACATGTTGTTTCATATTGTACACTAGAACTCTATCACCAATTTCAAATTGTGTAATTCTTTGTAATTTTGAGTCATGTCTTTCTTTCATTTGCTGTTGCTGTCTTTTGATTCGATTTTGTACTGTGTTGATATCATCTGGTAGGTGATGGATTAATGAAAATATTCGGTCTAATATTTTATCTTCTTCATTTTCATTTTCTGCTATTGGTGATGGATATTTCAAATCAATTGGTAATCGGGCATCTCTTCCATAGGTCAAGAAGAAAGGTTCATATTTGGTAGTGTTATTTCGAAGTGTTCTGTATGCAAATAATGCTGATGGTATGTACACATCCCATTGTTCATCTAATGCAATACAATACTTTTGAAGTATTCCACATAAAGTTCTGTTAAATCGTTCTACTATTCCATTAGTCTGTGGGTGATATGGTGATGAAAACTTGTGTTTAATTCCAAATCGAGTGGTAAGTTCTTCAATTATTTGAGCTGTGAATTCAGTTCCTTGATCAGACTGTAATTCTTTTAGACATCCATGTCTACAAATTATTTCTTCAAAAATAAATTTGCTTCAGACTATTTTGTGAGGGGAGCTATTGCTACAGCAATATATCGATTTCTTTTCTTGGTTACTTTACAAGGGCCAACAAGGTCGATTATAATTCTATCAAAAGGCTGTCCAACTTTAATAGGATGTAGAGGTTGTTTTGTTGTTCGTCTACCAGTTCTTTGACAAGTTTCACAAGATCTAACAAAGTTCTTTATATCTGTTCCCATTCCATTTCACCAATATCTAATAGCAATTCGTTGATAA